TTTCATCTGCTTTACGCCTTCATTACACGTGTCCCTGGGGACACAGGCTTATATAGACCTCTTCCAAAGGTCCGTTTTGCTCCTTAATTCATATTTAATCCCCCAATATCCTATGTGCTAAGAGGTCCCTCTGTTGTCCCTTTAATGGGTTCATGGATAGATCCACCATCAATAGATCCGTCCTTAGGTCCATCACCAGATCCACCTCTAGGTCCATCCCAAGTAGGCCCATCAAGGGTAGGTACATCCCCAATATCCATAAATAGGTTCATATCATGTAGGTCCATCGCAAATAGTCCCATCACATATAGGTTCATCTCAAGTAGGTCCATCACATGTTTATTAGGTCCATCCTACAAGTAGGTCCATCACACGTTGATCCTAGCTAATATATATGTCAAATCAATGTGATTTTTGTGAAAATAAATTTTTTAAAATTCTAGTCCAGTTCTTAATTTCTGGATCTCTCCTAGAAAATATCGAAAGTCTGGGATTGCAAGTACACAAAGTGTTTGTTTTATAATGTTTGTATATACATATATAAACAAATAATTAGAGTACTTAAATTCGGAGGCTCCCCTGTTATTTGTAATGTTGATGGGAATACATCTGAATTTTTTTTAGAATTGCATGAGTTTACTCGATAGTTGTGTGTTTATTTCCTCTATTACGAAAGCTTGGAAGATGGATCAACATAAAGTCAATACATGTTATATCAAGACTAAATATGGAACTTGAGAGAGAACCGTACTTTACCAATCACATGATAGATCAAAGACTTTGTATGGAAATTGAAGAGATGACCAATTTTTATGGACCTGCGAGTATGCTTGAACGCTAGAATGATATCATCCATCTGTGATAGTTTGGATTATTCTTTATGTACTTATAAATTGAAGTTATTATAATGCACAAATTCATCAGTTGACTATAGTTTAATTGGATTGCACAACCGGAATCCAACTAGTAGTCTAACTACTACATTATTATTTACTTCACAAATATTTAATTTTAATAAGAATAAATAAAATTAATTAAATAAATAAATAAATAGCTTGAAATTAGTAAGAATAAGTCTCTCTCTCTTCTCTTTATTGGATGGATAGAGTGTAGAGAAGTATGTGGGTTAAACGTATTATTCTCTACATTGTAAACATTTATATATCTACATCATTACGACATCTATGATCATATTGTATACTAAAGAACGAACGTTTGTGACCTTACTCAATATATTGATGTGAATAAATATAATTTACAAAACTAATATTTGAGCGCGTGAGTAATATTATAGTATCAGCATAACCATAAATATGCGCAAGAGTCTTAAGAATGCTTGGCCATCCTAACTATTCATAATTATAGCTTAGCGTGTAAACAGATAGTGGATCAAATGGAACAAGAAGCAAACATGATAGAGCAGTCCCGCTCACCTGCCCACGGTGGGCAGTGCCCACTAGTTTGTTTTATATGAAAAACGTATTTTGAGAATACGTTTTTCTCAGAAAAACGTATTCTGAGAAAAACGTATTCTCAAAATACGTTTTTCATATAAAACAAACTAGTGGGCACTGCCCATCGTAGAAAGTGTAATATATTTACATGATAGAGTGGTAATTAAATTGAGGCACTAAACTTGTAATAAGGTTCCCTCATTCCAACAAAACATTGGATCGGGGGAGAATGCAAGACGCGAGACACGAGATACATATCTGAATTAGTAAATATTAAGAGAACAGTCAATACATCTCTGAAATGTAAGGTTAAATTGAAACAATGTTGTTAATTGTGATTATAAAAACTAAAAAGTGTAAGAAAAAATGGAATTGTATTTTTACGGTTTTATTTTTTTAAGCAGAAGATTTAGAAAATTCTCAAAATCATTTTAAGGTGAATGAGAAATTAATTAAAAATTGTATATGTGGTAAATTTAAGGTTGAAACAATTGAGTTTAAGTAACTCAAATTATTGAATTACCAACATTTTGACTTTGACGAATGCTAGAATAATCCAAACAAGATTTGATCATACAGCTTGCGTGTTATTATTTAAATTCATTTGTTATGTTTAACGTCAATTTCTATACAGTCTCCTTCAAATATCTTTATGTATATATAAAATATTTAAATGCTAGTATTAGTAAACTTTTTGTCAATATCAATTTAGGTCTTAATTTAAATTTTAATATATACTAATGGTATTGTTTGAATAATAATCGGAAGGTGATTATGGACTCTTACCTCTATATTCCCTTGATACTAGGATGATTGAATATTATCTCCAAAACTCCTTCGATACTGGGATGATTGAATATTATCTCCCAGGAAGACCTCGAGATACTGGGATGATTGAATATTAACGCAAAAGAGTTCAGTGAAAAATATTTCAAAAAATTAATTTCAATTTTCTATCAATATTTACTTTTTACTGGAACAACAAAACTCCAATATTCAAGTATCAGTAATAGACAATGAAAAATATTTCAGAAAATTATTTCAATTTTCTATCAATAATTACTTTTTACTGGAACAACAAAACTCCAATATCCAAGTATCAGTAATAGATTCGATGTAATAGTAATATGATGGTATCTCTTGAGTATAACAAACCTTTTTTTAGCATGTTCCATTATTATGACCGACAAAGATATCATATCACTATCTTATGCCCTGTGCATATGTTCGGGCCGGTTCAGGGCCCTCCAACCCTCCGCCCAAAACCAGGGAGTGGCCATGCCTAGTTAAAACCAATGTTTCAACCCTCAGTGGGTTGTCTATTCAATCAATCAATTGGAAAATTGAATAATTAGTTATAAGATTACCAAAAATAAAAAAACACTATTCTTAAATATCAATAAAAACGTTAAAATAAATAATTTATACATTAATCTTATGATTAAAGTCTTATTGAGATGATCCATTCACGAGGTCAAAGGAAAAAGAATGATCACTATAGTTGACTAGTCTAATCTAATAATTTCATAACTCAAGCCAATTATTCAACAAACGTTGCATGATCCCATTTAGAAACATAAACACACATCATAAACAATATTTACCATCAAAAAAATGCAAGGACAATATGAAGATATTAAAATTTTAAACCACTCGCCCATCAATAATTATCAACACTTTTTACCTCACACACTGCAAATCTTAACCACAAATCCCAAAGAAAAAAAAAAAAAAAAGGAAACTCGTCTAGTCGTATGCTGAACATACAACGAAGAAATAATGCATCCAAGCAGTTACCAAAGTCCGATACATGTTTAGGAGTAAGTAACGCTTTGTGAACCAAGACAAAGAAAGCACGCCTTAGTATGGTGGAGGATAAGGTGCCGTAGGAAGTGAACCCCCTACAACGCAATAAAAATCATTTTCAGCTTGTACATACTAAATTAACCCCATTAATCGTTATTTTCAATATCATTTAGGGTAAAACATCGCGTGTATTGTACGTGTTTTTGGACTTTACCTAACCTATAATATTTTGTGGTAAACTGCAACATAAACTTCATGAACATTTCATCTTGACCATACAATCAACCGCAACAATATAATAGTCAAGATCTACGAGATGTAGCAAATTACAAATGTTCAATAAGTTCAAGTTGAATTTTACCGAGAACAATATTATAGGTTGCAAAGTAAAAAAAAAAAACACGTACAATATAGGGTTGCAAAAAATGATTTAGAAGTTACTTCGATAGGGATGCAAGATATCTGACCTCGAGGATAATAGGAATGGTCGTGGGGAGGCGGGGGATGAGCTGTGTTTGGAGGATACGCTGAGGTCGGAGGATAAGCTGTGTTTGGAGGATACGCTGAGGTTGGAGGATAACCTGTGTTTGGGGGATAGGATGAGGTCGGAGGATAAGGATAAGCGGGCGGGTGATAAGGCGGTGGGGGGTGTCCAGAGGGATTTGGAGGGTAAGAAGGGTAAAGATTCGGTGGTGGTGGATAGCTCGTTGGGGGATAAGGAGCCACAGAAGGAGGAGGAGTCGAGTACATTGGGATGTGAGTTGATGATGGTGTGCCGGCAAAAGGTGGGGCCGTAGGAGCCGATTGAGTCGACGTGACGTGAGTTTTTGCTGGCTTCTGAAAAAAAAGATAAAAAAGAGCAAAAGGCAATTGTAATTTGTAAGCTGCAAATATATTATATATCTCTTTTTTTGTTCTTCTTCTTCAAGTAATTGAAATTGTTTCTTGTTTAAAATGCGAAAGGAAATCTAATTATTATTATTATTCTTTTTTTTTTTTGGAAAAAAGAGGTCAATTTGGCTTACAATTGCATTAGGATAGTGCATGATCAGTCGAACTTCGCCAGCATGCCTACGGATAAAAAAAAAGAACATGCGTCATGTGCTGTCAAAAGAAGTCAGGTCGAAACGGACAAAATGAAGGAAAATCATAAAACCGCACGAGTTAAGATTGCAAATTGGTCATATATATAAGTGTGTGTGTGTGTGTGTGTGTGTGTGTGTGTGTGTGCTAAAAGAAAAGAAAGAAAAAACACCATTAATTCTAATAGTACATCTCAAAATGTCAAATTACTTTAATATAAGTTCAAAAAAAAAAAAAAAAACATAGTTTACTTCCTATGTGAGAACATAAAAACTCATTTGAAAACCATGAACAATCAACTAATTTTAAGTGAGTAATTGAAGTTCTTTTAATAACAAATAATAACGAACCACCAGAACAAACAACCAACATAATGAAATGAATCACACAAAAATCATTCTCTCACACATACCAAAAATGCCAAATTACTCTACTAAAACTCCACACAAAAAATGTAGTATATTTTCCACAACACAAAAGAGCTCATTACAAAAAACATGAATAGACACAACAAATTTTAAGCGAGTACTTGAAATTCCGTTATAACAAATAAAAGAAAAGGAATCGTAATTCACACACAAAGAACCATTCTCTCACAAAATCCAAGAACACGATCGTTTAAATATAGCTCGGCACATTTAAGTTTCATTATACCTTCCTCTTTTGTCCTGAAGAGGCCACGAGCTGTCATCATAACCCTGAGACAGAACTTTCTGCAACTGAATCCTGAATATATACAAAAATTTCAAGATCGAATCAAACCCCCCGCGTGAAAGTATATCACAAAACGGGTATCCATATAATAGAGATTATCAATCTTACTTACTTTCCAGTTCCGATAAAATCGTCGAAAGTGAGTGTGTTGCTGTTCCAAACCACAACCGAGATCTCTCTCAAACCTTCTATCAACGTAAACACGAATTTCTCTTGAAATGTGGGGTTTTTACCTCCATCTACACAATAAATTTTTCCACCAAGAACAAAAATTTCATTCTTGTTCTTGAAAAAACAAAAGATCACCCAAAAAAAAAACAAAAAAAAACGCAAAATCCACAAGAAAATCAACCTGTACAAGTACGAGTCCGATGTTTACTGCTAGCATATTCGAGACAAACGTAGGGATCTTGCCTAGAAATCCACTCGGTGTCTTTCAGTTTATTACAAGCAACAACTGACATCGGCAAAAGCATAAACCATAAAATTCAGCCAAAATCAAACACAACGTAGCTGTGAACAAACAGAACATCGAATTTGTTACCTGTGACTTCGAGAAGTTGACCTTGGATGCCAGAAATCGACATGGGAGACAAAGGCGAACAGCGACAAACAACACGAAAAGGCTGTAGCTTTGGTTTATATAATCAAAACCCACAAGAGGGCTGACCTTTTATATGTATGTACGCTGTTTTCAAGTCAAACAGATAAAAGAATTATCCAACGAGTTCAAATTGCAATAAAATAAACGAGAATCTGAAGGAGTTCAAACTGTGGGATGGGAGTTTTATAATGAGGGGTTTACCGATTCAGATTAGGGTTCTTGAGGAGATTGTGGATTTTCGTTTGGGGAGGAAATTTCCAAGCAATTCATGAGACTGCGAAGGATCTTCTTGGTGCTTGCATTCAATTCGCACCGCGTGAAGTGTGTATACTGTGTTTACCCCACATTGAATTCAATTATTTCAGTTCAGGTGTGGTAGACCAATAAGCTAGCTTATAGCTTATTTGATTAGCTTATAAGCTACCTGTATTTAAATAAACCTTGTTTGGTAGGACGAACTTATTTAAAAAGTTCGAGCTTATTTGTTAAGCTTCATTAGGTAGCTTTTTAAATAAGCTAGTTGAATTTTTTATTCCAGCTAGTTTATCAGCTAATTTTAACAAATATTTTTAACATATAAGCTAGCTTATCAGTTATAAGTCATAAGCTATAAGCTAAAATATTACTGATAAGCTATAAGCTAGCTTATCAGCTATCAGCTAGCTTATCAGTTAGTTTTACCAAACATAGCCTTAGTGTAACCTAACAATCGGAACATTCGCAATTTTTACGTTGATACTTAATACTAATATAAAATTAAAGTAAAATGGTTTAAAAACTAAAATTCTTATAGTATTGGTATTTTTTTTCCAAACGATGAAAATTTTATTGATAAGAAAACACATATATATATATATATATATATCTAGAAACAACTCAAAAGTCGAAAGAACAGCTCAAAAGCCAAATCTAATGGGAGGATAGATCCCGAAGATCGCCTAGAAGTTAACAAGAACAACTCACCCTCTAAAAAACATAAAAAAAACCACAAACACAAACAAACTCCACAATTGGAGAAAAACTCCCCAACAAGGGACCACCCCTCCCCTACGGGAGAATACCCAGTATTGGTATTCACAAACAATAAATTCATTTTAAAAATTGTGTGTCGATTTTACCTGGTTTAATCAATATCAAATTATATTATTATTATTATAATATAAATAACATATAAAACTAACTAGAATAAATACTAAATTAAGTAAAATTTACTAACAATGTTGGTATATTAAAATTAAGTTTAGAACTTTTTATTATATAAATAAATTCATAAAATATGTTATAAAAGTATTTTTTTTTTTTAAATCCGACTTACCCGGTATTTTAACGTAACTTGGCTGGTATTGTCCACTTACCCAGTATTTTAACGTAACTTGGCTGGTATTGTTCAATAAAACCGATATTCTTTGGCATGAAGCCGGTATGAACTAGTATTTTGGTTAAAACGGTGTTTAGAAGGTAACCATACCGGTCAAATTACTGGTATCTGATAGTACCAGTAATACCGACCGGTACATACCAACAATTATAACATTGGCTTTGACATACATACATCCATAAAAATTTAAAGATGTTTTTTCTAAACAAAAAATAACAAACAGTAAAATCATTTTAAAAGTCCTAGTAGACACGCATAAAAAACCAGGTCCACATAATAGTCATCGTCACAGGTCGACCCGTCAGCCGGAAAATTGTTGAACGAGCCCATGGTCAAAGAGGCTTGAAACGAGCCTGTGATTTGGGCGGGCTGGTTTAGGCCACGGATTTGTAATTCGAACCGCCAGGCCAATTCTGACCTAAAAACGGCCCGATAAGTTGACCTTTTTTTTCTTTAATTTTCTAATTGTTTTTTAATTGAACTGGGCCAGCCTGGACCGGCGATTCAGTAAGATCACGACCCGGAATCAACCCAGAACAGGGTTTTGGCCATAACTACATGGACTAGAATTACAAAACACACATATAAAATAAGATACAAAGCACCAAAATTTAGCAATAAAACTAGATAAACTAGACATTCTATAGAAAGTGATAATAAATTTAATAATATAATTGCCAATCATTTGTTTTCCCTGTAGAATGGTAATCAGATGCAATATACAATTTGAAACTTGGGATTGGAAAGTCTGCTCGAGGATTGGTCTGCATAACTTATCCACCACCACATACTATAATTGCCTTTAGAAACTATAAATGTCACGTTGCTGTAAACCTCTTACAAAACTCACTGAAAACTGCAGAAATTCAAGAACTTTGTAAAAAAAACCCACATAGAAATTGTCTCCCCACATTAAAAACCAAAGTTTCCTGCAAGAAAATACACATAGTTCAACTTCACCAAATAAAAATGAAATATCTTCATGCATATTCACAATCACACATATATATAAACAGAAAATCCCAAACCCTTCGAGACTCCAATCCCCTTTTCAGTCGCTTTCGTAATCTTCGTCATCCCCGAAGGAGAAAACCGATGCATCTGCAGCCATTGCTTTGAATTCACTCACATCCCCAGCTGGATCGGACGGCCCAGATCCAACGGGACTTTCCTTCTTCTGCTCGGTGGGCTTAGGAGGACCTGAGCTACCTAGCGAGGCTTGCTCCGTTTTACGTGCCAAGTCATCAATTTGTTGCGAATCGGCCTTGGAGTTGTTTGTTGTGGTGATGTTTTGAGAGGAGGTCTCGGTTTGTTTGGATTTGGAGGACCCATTGTCCTCGCCTTCACTGTCTGAGAACTCGTCGTCTTTGTCTTTCTTCGTGTTCTTTGTTTGGACTGGTGGGTCGGTTGGGCTGGGATTGGGTTGGGCTGAATCTGGGCCTGGGTTCTGGGCTGATTCGTTGGAGGTGGTTTCTGATGGGGGTTTTGGTATGTTGGTGGCTGTGTTGTAGTCCACAAGCACGATCTCGACTTGGAAGCCGGGGGATGGTAGTTTTCTCTGCACACAAGTAGAAAATGGAGAAATGCATGTGGTGAGAAATAAAATATTGCAAGATTTCTTAAACGAAGTCTTGCAGTGAATCTGAAGAATGAGGTTTCACAAGTAAAGCTCTAAATTTTGGGTAAGATGAGAAAGAGTGATTCATGAACAAGTCTCTTAGTGCTTTGTATGTTTCAGAAGTCGAACAAGAAAGTAGCATTGGGAAATCTAAAGCACGCCACCTTTGCTTCATATTTGCATTATGTTCTGCAGATTTAGAATCTGAAAGCAAGATGGTACACATAAATTGAGTAAATCATCTCTGGTGCACTAATATTTTATACCTTATCAAAGCCGTCAAGATCGCCCGTGTTTAATACTTTTCGATTTTCAATCATTGTTGTGTTTAACCAGCTACAATAAATAATTAAAAAAAAAAAAAAAGAGTATCATCAGACATGGATCCATCAGAATAAAGGATTAAATCCCATGAACTGCAAAAAAATAAAGGATTAAATCCCATGAACTATTTATACCAATAGAAATCCCCATTACGATCATGAAAATGGACTTTGAAATCGCCCAACAACTCCGTCAGGCCAGGCTCCCCAGGAAGTGCAAATACCATTATCCCTTTCTTTGGCGCATCGAACCAAAAAGATTCAGGCTGAAAAACGAACATAAGGTCAATATTCTCATTCAATCGAATATAAAATAAAACTATGCAGATGTATTTCCAATCGACTTGTCGCGCTATGTGAACATAGGATGCATGTATTGAACAGTTTCATCAAATTGGCTGAGAATTGCCAAATTAACCAACACAGGGAAATCCACATAACGCATAATTATCAGAACAAATATATCACGAATCAATGAATATTACCAAAAAATAAAACAAAAATCCTGCATTACGCGACATGGTAAAGCAGTTAAAACTATCCATTAGTTACAATATAATTGATATAGTCACAATAAAAAATCACACATAATTTTGTAAAAGATGTCAAGAACTTTTCCTAGTATACAGCTGTCACTTCAAAATAAATAAATCAGTAAATCACTGACCGAAACTGAATGCTAGAAGCAACAACTCACCGACAAATCTTTGGTTCTTGGATGCTTCTTTGTTGAAAAGAGAACACCTACAGATAGAAAGCAATAGCTAAAAAAACATGTACAAAAGAACATCAAAAGGTGTGCCATAAAGCAAAACGGAATCGACACACACACACAGAGATTTGGATAGAGAGTAACCATTATGGTCAGATACTGTAATGGAAGGTCTAATCCAGTATGGACATCTGTGCAGCCGAAATCCTCTAAGCATGCATCTGCATTGTGCAATTCAGCATCATTTCAGAACTCTACCACACGGTGATAAAATCGGTTTCTCACGTCACCCTAAAGCTGTTTTCTAACACATATATAAGAGCATCCACAATGCTTTGATCCTAATTTTACATATGTGGCATGTAAATAGACTTAAGTCCTAAATGACATGGACAAACCCAAGTAAAAAAACTCAAAAGCTATTCAATGCAAAAATAAAATACTAGGTCTAGCATACATGACAACAAATAAAAATGTTCTAATATATTTCATTTATTAAAAGAAAAATTAAATGAGGAATAAATGATGAGTGCTTGGGTTTGCACTTGGGTCTAAAATAGACCCAAGTGTGGACTAGATCTTTTTTTTTTATTGCCACATAAGCTAGACTAGGTCCACTTTTAATTGCATTGGGAAACATTTTTTTATAGACTAGGTCTATTTCCTACGTGGCATGTAATTTTTTTCTAAGAGACCCAAAGCATTGTGGGTGCTCTAAGTATATAGAGAATACTTACGCTGTCATGGTTAAGTATCAATTTCTTTGACTGGATATTCAGTAAGTTCATACACAATATTATCATAAATAGCACGTACCTACGACCTGGCTGATTTTCTCCATTGAAATATGCAAAAATCCGTTCAAAATACTTGACATACCTCTGTAAGGAATAGACTCATATTAAAAGGTAAAACATAATAAAGAAGCTTAAAAAAAAAAAATAGCGACGACTGCTTTGATAGTAACAAGACTCACAATCTGACTAGGCAGAACAAGCCCTTTCCCATCAATACACCTTTTCTGATTGTAGTAGTCAATTGATTCTTCAGCAGTAGGGAAGAACTGTACAATAAAATGACTGATTAGATTGAAAAAATGGGACAACATTCATTCAAAATAATCTCTACATTTTCCAAGCTATAAATATAGAAGAATATCTGGTCCTCAGCCAGTAGCTATGGTAAGCATGATTAATTTTACCTTCAGATAGAGAAGAAGACTGGAAATCATCAGTCCTGTCCTAGCCATTCCAGCTTTACAATGCACAACCACCACATTCTCAATATCTTCTTTCAACCATGAATATGCACTTTGGCAAAATGATATGATTAGTTGAATAGGAGGGCAGTTATGATCATCAAAAGGAAAACTAGCCACCTGGAGAAAAAGGCAAAGAATAAAATTCATAATCACATGGATTGAGTACAAGTATAAATCAGCCAGATTCAATTTAGTGAAAACTTTAACAATGATGCTAAATAACCATATTGTAAAACTGTCAATTTATGCAGAAAAAAGGTAAACCAAGAAAATATTTCATAACATAGAGGACATACAAACCTTTCCCTCAAATAAGGATGCATCATACAATCTTTCAGAACAAAGGTTGTACACTTTGTACTTGTCCTGCGTGATTGGGATCAACCAGAATTCAGTCAGCCACTCTTTTAATTGCATTATAAAATAAATGACAAAATTTTGATGTGAACATCAATTTACTACATTGTTAAAGTTTAACTGAAGATCACAAGATCCCGAGCTCATCTAAATAAGGTGAAATCAGATAGCGGGTACAGCCAGTTACCTTGTGGTAAGTTTCAAAGAACTTAATTACTTCCTCCATGTGGTTCCGATAAAATCCCTGAACCACAAACATCACTAAGTTCTAATTAGCACAACCATTATTGACTAATTTGGTGCAACTTCAGATGAATTGGAGTTTTATACCTCAACATAACCAAAAAAACCAGAGCTCATATCACCAGCAGGGAAGCCCATAGCAATAATATTCTCCGTGATGTAAGTCATGTCTAAATCAAATCCTCCTTCCTGCAGAAAAGAGTAATCAAAGTAACACAGCAGTTTTAAGAGTTGGGAAATCGACAAAATGGAGGCCCATCATAAAAGAAGAGCCACAGCCTTAGGAAAGTTGTAACGGGAGAGGAAGAAGAAAAACCTGTTAGGCTGCATGTTTATAACAATTAAGACCCAGTTACACGAAAATAACCTGATATCTTCGTTTATTTTGAGATACAACATGCCGAGCTTTAACCTGCACAGCCTTCACAGCATTCTTGGACGAGTCAACCAATCCTTTTGTTATAGTCCCAATAAAACCTGATTGCGCAGTTGGTGAAGGTTCATTTGAACTTCCTTCTGACTGAGGAGATTTTGGAGATGAGCGCAACCCAAACCCACTAGTGAGACGTGAAAACGGAGACTTCCCAGAATCTCCAGTCGGTGATGCTTCCTGGGACGCAACAAATGGCTTGGAAATTTTAAGATTTTTCGCCCAAGTTGAGATGCCAGAAGCCGAAAAATTAGAAGCTGCACCATGTTCAGAATTATCTGGTGCAGATTGCATTGGAGTTGACATTTTTGTTTCTGCAGATTTGATATCCTGAGGATTTGACGAATCAGGAGAACCCGAACTCATCTCCGGAAGCTCAAATTCCTTCACGGTATTCAACAGAACAACCCTGAATCAATTAGCATTTACAAGCAGAACCTAGTAAATTATGCGCCTAAGTAAAAAGAGAACAAAACAAGAATGGTGATTTGCTAAAAGCATCCATATAACTCCCGAAACAACAAATTTACTGCAGTTTCCAAGACTTGAAAACCTCACAAAATCAATAAATCCTATTGACAGTAAGCAAATAAAAAATGCAATAGCAAATTCCTTTAAGCAACAGGGTTTTAACTAGAATCCATTCACCGTCGTCATAAATTGGACTGCCAGTAGCGTGCACTTTACCCTATGGGTGGAAAAGATGAAGCTAAATTAGACTTCACTATAACAACATGCTTCGTTGTAGTTACGAGAACCAGCAATTACTTAATTATTCTGTGAAGCCTATACACAAAATATAAAAATTTCAGCTCGACATGAATGACGTAGACAGGCTGAACTACGAGATTACATCAGATAATGTTCCAGCTTCCTTTCCATTCCTAAGAAGCTCCATATCACCAACAAAAAATGTAAATTACCTTCCTCCGCAAAAATGCCCCTCCGAAAAACATAGAATAAGGTGAAAAATCTATCCAATTATTTTACATTGCAACCAATCCAGATTGCAGTAAATAAGTACGCACCAAAAGATTCCCTAAAGTCCATTGCTATTGGCAATCCACATACTCCAGCTAGACAAAAACTCAAACTGTTATGACGAACACAAAACTACAAACTCAGCAGATAGTGCAAAACCATAAAAGGCGTAATCACGACCTAGGTTTCCGACAGCTTAATCCCTACCAGCGAAAAGTACGATCGAATCTAAGATAAGGAGTCACAATTAACAACGTAATTTACGCCGAATGTTATTTTGAAGTAGCAAACAACAATTTCTCAGAATCCCAAATCGATTTCACAAATTGCTGAAGAAAGCTCCATCAAAGACCTCATCGAACAACTAGGAAATGTATGAGTGCGAGTGATAGCAAACATTAAAGTAACTATAGCAATACTCACACACGCAATAAGAGGACAATCAGATGATGCTGGAGCTACCTGAAATCGGAGTCAACGGCGGAGGAAAACGGCGAGGCGGTGGTGGGCCGGTGGTCGCTGGGGTTCCTTGAATACGACGTCGTTGGGTTTCAGTGTGATTATAAATGATGCGATGAATAAGGAGTGATTGCCTTCACCTTTACCATTTTATCGATATGAAAGCCGCGACTTTTTTTAGTGGATATAATAATAATAATAATAATAATAATAATAATAATAATAATAATAATAATAATAATAATAATAATATAATGAATCAATTATGAAATTTCACAATAAGAATTACAAGTGATAAATAAAAAATGTTCAAATAACTATAATCAAGTAACAAATTCACAATGTGCAAATAGATAAACTACATAATAATTATTGGTAATATATTTAACTATCAAGTGAAAGTGACTACTCAGAAAGACTTTCTAAACTATATAATTACAAATTACATGTATGAGCAATATTACAACACTTGTTTACTATACAACTGTTAATTAAATTTGTATATTTGAAAAAATAAAATAGTCAAATTTTTGTTTTAAGATATTTTTTTTTTAAAAAAAATAGTTGTATATCAATTTAAAATAATATTCATGTTGATTTGTGCGAATATATAATAATAATTATTTTAATTTATATCATATAACACGATTTATTTATAATTTTTTTTATTTTTCAATTAAGATATGTTTGATATCTTTTAATTCTTAATATAAAGATGAAAAATTGATCATAAATAACAAGGTTATTAAGTAATAAAATATAGTTTTAATTTGGGTTGCCATCTACAATCAAGTTATGTATAATGCAATATTAAAAAAAAAAAA